CTTTTCTTCACTTGGAGTTTTGCTGTCAGTCTCTAAAAACAGCACTATCTTAGTGTTTTATGAAAATCAGAGAAACTTCTTTTGAAGTAGATGATGTCCTGTTAATTTGCAAAGCTGAGTGGTGTCTTCAAAGTGGTTACCAAAGCAAGAGTGATCTGTAGATCTGTGATGTAAAGCTGCAAGTATAAACCTGCAGCATTTTTGATATAGTTGTGTGTTCTGGTATTTTTGAAAAGCTTGTGTTTTGTAATACATCAATTTCATCCTGTGCAGTTTTAACACTGGCTTACTTAAGTTGTTTCTTCTGAGGCAGAGTCAGTGATGAATAAGTATATTTTGTATGATAATGCAATCTTGAACTATTTTCAGTGTTCTGAGTTAAATGTTTCCTACTAAATATTACTGGAAAATGACAGTAACTTGTAAATAACATTTTTTATCAGCAGACTACACTATTGTGCAGTGAAGTCTTTTTGACAGGGGGAAAAACTATTAATCTGGATTTATTTCAGAATTATAGATAACTTCAGTCATTCAAGATGAGGGAAAGGCACTTTCTACCACATCTCTTAAACTTCAGTGCAGGACTAAAACTGATCAGTGATTTAAATGAGGCTTAAAAATGAGATGGGTCATCTGACCTTGCCTTAGTTTGGAGTTTCAGTGGCAAAAAAAAAAAAAAATAAATAAATAAAAAAGCACAATTAAAATTATGCTATTACCAACCAAGGAAAAATTACAAATACATAAAACATGGAAAGTGTGGTTTCTTTGATGGCTAAAATAGTACTCAGATGTTCACACATATGGCTTCATGTTCTGTTTTCTTTTAGCTGAGCCAAATCAGATGCTCATATGCTCATACATTGAAATAGGTCAATATACTCTGATTTAAAAAGAACATTCAGTAAATATTATGGTTGAGGGGTTGGGAGCATTTTAAAGCAATCTTTCTGCTGGAGAAATTACGGTGTAAAAAAAAGTGCAGCTTCTGTTCCTGGAGATTGACTCATTTGTTTTCTACAAATTGGGGCGGAGGGAATTGGAGATGACAATAATAAAAAAAAAAAAAAAATCTGATACTGCAAGAGCAACTCTTTTAGAGCCTATGTTTATTTCTAATTTGTACTTGAGCTACTTGCAGTGTCAAACCACGTAACTGGATAATTTGTGTTGACAAGAACTCAATGGTCCTGTGGAGTTGCTTTCTGTACTTGTCTAATAAACTCTTGTTCTTTCTTGCAGGGCTATGGAAAAGCAGATCATTCAGTGACTGTAGAGATATTGAAAAAAGTGTATACAGATTATGAAATTACATGGTCAGATGACAAGAAATAAATTGGCTACTTACGAATGTGACATGCAGTTCAAAACTGGTAACTTTTTGAGTTGTATTTCAATAAAACTACGCGTCTGTATGCATGTTATAAATCTGGAGTAACTGGTCTCTGCTGTAATTTATAGCACTGTTAGAGATACCTGGGGATTACTTACTTTTCAAGTCATTCCTTTGTGCAAATTTTGCGGTTCTCAGCTTTTTTTCATGCTCCTTTTGACTTGCCACCTAATGAAACACTCCCACATCACCTTACCTCCAATTTTTCATCTAGTTTTATCTCACTGATGCATTGCAGGGTATATCTGGATTTTGCCATCACCTTTAATGCCCCAGGACCAAACCTGTGCTCTGATCCTTTTGTCTGCGGTGTTTTCTTTTTTTTTTTTTTTTTTTCCAATTTCTCTTCTGGCTGTTCAACTTTCTTATTCACACTTATAAAAACTGAAGGGGGGGCAATAATGTAAATCTTCTCATTCCGATTCTTCAGTACTTCTTTTACTCCTCATGAGCGTAATGACTTTTTCCTTTTCTAGGACTATAATTACCAACCCAACCAGAACTCGTATACCTAGGCAGGGTCAGGATTAATTTTCGGGCACCTGTTTCCACCTGTTGAAGCAAGCTTTTGCCCTTCATTTGTGAAGATGCTTGCTGCAATTTTCACTTTGTTTCCTGTTGATGTTGTGTTGAATGCTGTTGTGGGTTTTCAAAGCAGTACCTTTTCTCTTGCTCACACTGTTGACTTGCAGTCATCAGATCTCTGTATACAAATCCTGATTGCTGTGACCCTTAAGCTTTTCTGACAGTATCCGTAGTCTCCAGTGGCTTTTTCTTTTCAGAACTCAAACCAGAATGAAATGGGAGAGGTGTTAGTCCAGTTTCTATCACAATAATAAAGCAGTAACAGAATGATTTCACTTATCCCTCCTTCACTCTCCTGTACATTTGTTTTGATTTTTAATCACTGGTGCTCTTTTGCACTGAGGGGTGGTTCCTTTTAAGGGCTCAGAGTTAATCCCAGGTCCTTGGACACTGCCCGTGAGTCATATATACATCAGGAGTGGCTGCCTCTTCTAGGAATATAACTCACCATCAGTTCAGTGTATTTGCAACTGCCTCCAGTTGGATCACAGAATTTTGAATAGCTGGATTGGCAGCAGTGACTGATTTCTTGTTTAACTCCTCATGTGCCCAGGTGAAAGAAATGTTAAGTTAGCTACTATGGCATCCAATGAAGGGCACCTGATGGCCTTTTTTTTTTGACTTACTGATCACCAGAGGCTGGGCAGAGGGGAATCTCCTTTTCTCATCCTCAAACCTTTTTGTCACACTCCTCATTAGAAAAAATTCAGGTATTTCCATCCCAATAATCACCCAGAAGCAAGATACGAACCTGGTGCTTCAGGTCTCTTGGGTGGTCTCTGCTTTCCCTATGCACAGACTTGACTTTCTGCTCCAGTGCCTCTGTGTGCTGCTGTATTTATCTGCTGTTCGTGCTTGTCTTTATGCTTCTGTGCATTGCTCTTCTGTCTGCTCCACTTCAGTTGCTATGAGAGCATTGGGTTTTTCTTACCAAGATTTTGATTTTAGAAAATGATTGCTCACCTCTGTACCTAGTTACCAAGAATAGCATGCAAGTCAATAATTTGCAAATTGAGCGCTTCCCACTTGTATTTTCCTCAGGGCTTTTTTTCCCCTAACATTTAGCAAAGTAACTGTAACGGATGCCATTTAACTAGTGCCAGTATCCAAACCGATCTGTTTTTTTAATCCTGTCATTTCCCAAAATTAGCAAATAGTCTTCAAGAGGAAGTCATCAGTTAAGCACAGCGCCTGCTAAAGTAAACAAGCTTTTTCATTTAGTTTCCTGAAACATTTTATGACAGATTTTAATGTTTCTCTCCACACTACTTACGAGAAGGGCATAATTTAGACCGGATTTCTTATTGTAATGACTCTCTTAAAAAGTAAGGGGATGGAGCCGGGGGAGAAAAGGGGTGACTTGGAAAGAGCTGAAAATTGAGTTGCCAGTTGAACGCTTTTTCTCATCCAAGAAACTAAGCCTGATGTTTGTATTATCAGAAAGAGATTTTTGAGGGTCTTCTAAATTTTGTTATTTTCTACTGAAATTTAACTTGGGGAAATGCTAATTATCCTGGCAATTAAGTAGATGTACAAGTATTACAAGATTTTTTTTTTATTCCAGATCATGAAAAAAGCAGGAAACTGGTCATGAGGGTGGTGATGATTTGGCAAAGGGAGAAAGCCTTACTGGTTTCCCTAATCTAAGAACAACTTCATTACTGATGTTAAAACATCAACAGCACAATGAGCCCACAAAACTTTAATTCTGCTTCCTCTCAGAGAGTATCCATGGGCTTCTAAGAACAGACTAGAATTCATCTGAACTTACGGAGATCCCAATGCTGATTTTACCCGAGAAAAACATCCTATATTGATTGACTTCTGTAATGTTAAAAACGGGAACTTAATTCCACTGTTGGGATTCCTGTTTTGCAGGTGCGCGATCATTGTGATTGTGGCTCTAGAGGTCTTCACTTGAAAGTCCTAAAAAATCTGATTCTGTATTTGTATGAAAACTGAGCTGCTTGAGCAAGCCAAAAATACAATAAGGATGCTGAGCAAAGGAATATTATTAAAACTGAAGGTGAGATTGATTATGTAATATTTTCCAGATAAAGCATTATAGTAGGCAATTCTAAGTGTCTTCTTTATTCAAAAAATGCATGAGATTCTTGTTCTTCATCATATTTATTGTTACAGGGGTCAGGATTTCTTATGACTTCAGGTACCCTTCTTGGAAAGGTGTAGAACAAGCTATTAAGTCACTGTGTAAGCAGTGATTTGTTTTAAGGCTCAGGTATGGAAAATAGCAAGTGGTAGCGATGTTTCCAACTTCCCACTTTTGAAAGGAAGAACTGTTAACAGTACTTCATTGATCTGCCGAAGCTAAAACTTCCTTTTGTTTTTTGGTCTGTAGTCGGTACTTGTCTGTCATCGGTAGGTTTCAGGCCTGATGCAGAAAAATCCCAAAGCACAATCACAGCTGACAGCTTGCAGAGCACAACTGACTGCTTTTTTCCTCTCTCCTGTGAAAGAGCACTTCAGTAATTTCCTAAGTATCCCTTTAAAGTAGTCTGCTAACAATGGTTTTTGGAACAACAGTAGTTGTTAAGGCTCTCCTGTAAAGTATAGGAAATCCTCTATGGTTATCTTAATAGCAACACGGTCAAAATAGGCATCTTGCCGTTGGCTTTCATGGGCTGCAGTGACGGGAACTTACGTTACACAATACTGAGTGATTTAAGTCACTGCTGTAGTAAGTCTTTCTCCACCTCCTCAGATTATTTATTGCCTTTTCTCCCCTGCATTTATCGAGGATCCTTATATCCAGTTCACTGCAGTGGTTGGCTTGTCTCCGAGTTTATATTTCTGCAAGGGCGCCCAATGCGTTATTGCTGCAGTAAAGCAGCGTACGCTGACAAGCAGTACCACTGATGTACCTGGCAGAGCTCTGTAACAGCCTGCTGCCTGCTTTAGTTGAAGCAAAACATACCATGGTTGACTTTTTTTTGGTGAATTGTTTGTGACACCAAACATTTGGGAGCAGATTTTGTATTTCTTTGGGTTTGTTTGCATCTTTTTGATTAGGTAATTTCTTCAGCAACGTGCAGTCTTGTCTCACCATCAGTATCATCAGCCTAGGACACAGGGGTGTGACTTGCACGTGGCCTTTTTTTCTAACAGCCTGCAGCCCTGCCAAACTGCTTAAAAGACTGAGTAGGTATGAAAGTGTTTAGTAAGCTTGGAAAATGGGTTGTAACATACGGTCAGTATCTGGAAAGATCTTACCAAAAACAGTACAGCACTCCAGTTAGTCTCCTTTCCTAATTGCAACTTAAAACTCAGATCTGTCATCCTCCAGTTTCTTAGACTGTGTTTGTAGGTTTATTGGTTGTTTGTTTTAAAGAATATCTTATGTAGAGTCACAGTCTTCTTTCAACTCAATTTCTAAAACAAATTATTTTTCATTTCTGCAAAGAGGATGCCTTTTTCCAGTTCCTTCCTGAAATTTTCTTAGGAGTGTGTCAAAATAGGAATATGAAAGTTCACAAACCACAGTACTAAATATCCTCTGGTATGCTTTTTCAAAGGTTTAAATAAAAGTAACATGCATTCTATATAGAAAAACTATAAAGATTTGTGAGATTGTTACCAGAATGGAATACAAGTGATAAGTACAATCACATCCCCCTCTGGTGGCAAAACGGCAGAGCACAGTTGTGCAGTTCAATCTGAAATTTGTCACTGCAGTTAAATCATGGCCAGGTTGAGAGCCTGGCCCTTAAGAATTACTTTTTGCACTGTATTAGGATGCTAAATGGTCACCTGTGCTCAGCGCTGACCCTGTAATTTAGTATTGGCACTGCCAAAGAATGGGAGAGGGAGACTGGGGACAGTGACTTGCTTAATTTTAAAATAAATATAAATAGCAAAAGTGGTATAAACAGATGCTACTTTAAAATAATACATTTTTCTCTGCAAAAACAGAACCAGAAGAGTCCCTTCCTTCCAAGCAAACACCAAAATTTGTCAAACAGTTCCAAAGCTAGAAAAGGGCAGATTCAGAGTAACTCAACAGCAGAAAAAAAGCAACGATAGGAGGATTGAAGTAGTTCTTTACTAAGATATTTTTGAAGCACCGGTGGTTGAGTTAATTTTAACAGGAATCTTTAAAGGCCATTTCCATGACAAAACGCTTCAGCCCTTTATCAATTTCTTTAACCGTGCTGATTGTGAACACCTTCCTCTCCTCAACGAGTTTCTCAAAGAGGTAGACGCCGCCCCCGACCCCAAAGTAATGCACTTTGCTTGCCAGGTACACGCGGCCGTTCCTGTCCAGCAGCTGAGACAGCGTGTCGTGCAAAGCACCGTAGTAGTCAGGGTTATAGATGGTCTCGGATGTGAGGATGACATCGTATTTTGAACAGGGTTTGCTGCTGCTGAGCAGGAGCCGGCTGACTTCTGACCACTCTCCAGAAAAAAATCTGCATCTGCTGAGCGCGTCAGGTAAGCACTCTGCTTTCCTGGGCTTTTTTGAAGGAGGCTTAACAATTTTTCTCTCATCTGCCCCACCAGTCCCGTTGCCATCATTTACGCAGTTAGCCACCACGTTAGGCAAGGTTATTTCATCGATCACCGTGCTGTTGTAGTCCTGGAAGTGGACTTGTGCAGCTTTTCCCCGTAACGCAGCTATTCCCAGCAGTCCAGCCCCGCACCCAAGATCCAGCACTGCCTTGTTGGCAAACTGCACACCAGCCTCAGCCAGGTACTCCAGGAGATCGAAGGTGCACTCCCAGATTTTCAGCCCCCCCTCGTAGACCCCTGGGATGAGGTCAGAGTGAGCAGAGACGCTCTTCCACACGATGTCTTCCCCATGCGTGCCACCCCGACGCGTCATTTCCACCGCGGACACCTTCACGCAACGCAGGTCTGACACCGTTTCCAAGACTTTATTTTCCAGTACTTTGCTGACATCTTCAGGAACGTGGTGCTCCCTGGCAGCGGGGAAGCACAACTTCTTCTCTGACAGGTCCTTACCTGTGTGCTTAGCGGTGCCCGGCTGGGGGCTGCAGGCTGCTGCTGCATCGGCGGTTTGCTCGTGTTTTGGAGGGTCCAGCTGCAGGTCTGCCTCACCGTGAGCATCTGATTCAGTGCTTTCATTGTCCTCGATAGCAAAATTAAACTGAAATGCCATTTTGAGTAAGAGCAGCCCAAAAAGTCACAGGCAGAGATGCTCCCCCAAGAGAGCCGGGATGGTTTTTCTTTTGTACGCTTCCATGCAGGCACCACGGTGGGAAAGCGTGCTCTGTAGGCTGGACACCGGCTGGTTTGCCAAGGGATCAGTTTAATTATTTCTGCAAAAAGAGTGAAAAGCGGTTTTAGGCATCGTTAGATGGCGAGATGGGAACGGTAAGGAATTAACAGCGTGCTAAGAGAAAATGCTGATAGCATCCTATTGGAAAATGAGAGCCTGTTTAAAAACCGAAAATAATAAAGAATAAAATAATAAAGAATAAAAATAAAATAAAAATAACACAGGATAAAAGAGTAAAGAATAAAAGATTAAAAAATAAACGAGTAAAAGATAAAATAATAAAGAATAAACTAATAAAAATACTGAAGAGTAAAAAAAAATGAAACAGTAAAAATAAAAAATGAAATAGTAAAAATAAAATGATAAAAGGATAAAAATAAATAAGTAAAACGATAAAAATTGAATGATAAAAAACAAAAAAGCCGCTAAATCTCAGCAGCCGTTCCCGGGGGTTGCCCGTACCCCGCTCTCCCCCTGCCCCACATGGCAGCGCCGCCTCCTTCCGCGTCGCGATGCGCATGCGCGGGGCCGGGCCTGACAAGCGCGGGGGCTGCTGGGATAGCGGCGGGAAAAGCCGCGGCTCGCGCCGGTTCCCGCCGCCGTGCGCTGAGGTGAGGGGAGCGGCCGCCATGTCGCGAACCGACCCCGAGCTGCTCCTGCAGGAGCTGGGCGGCTGGGACTGGGAGCTCTGCCGCCGGGAGCTGCCCTCCGTGCTGCCCCGGCTCCTCATATCCTTCCCCCGGAGGCGGTTCGGCTTCTGGGTTGTTGTGGGGAGGGGGTGTGCGGGGGGCTCCATCGTCGGGGGAGTGACCCTAAAATGGCGGGGGGGCGGCACGGGGCGAGCAAAGCGGCTCGTGAGAGGGAGAAGCGCTGCGAGCTTTGCAAGGGGTGAAACGGGAGAGAAAAGCCGGGTGTGCTGGGCTTCGCTGAAGGCAAGCACTGCGCTTCACCGAAGTAACAATAAAGTAAAATAAAAAACTGCAGTAGAAAACACTGTGTGGTTCTTCTAGCCCTTCCAATAACACCTCTCTTGCCCCCCTAAAAATAAAAGAACAAAACACCACAGCCCACAAATCTTATTCTCTGGTACAGTGCTGCTGGAACGTGGGTACTCAGCACCCACCCAGGTGAGCTGCGGAGCATCCCTGTTAATGTCATGAGGTGCTTAAAGCCCACACAGCACATAGCGTGAGAAATGACATCTTTATGGCAGAATGAGCTTGAGTTTCTTTAACGATTTTACTGTATGTATCAAGAGTCTGAAGACTGGACTGAGCATGTTCGTAAGTAGTGGCCAAGAGGTGCTGCTTCTTCCTAAGGCTTATTTTATTGCAAATATTAAGGTCTGCACAACTTACAAATACTTAAGCTATCGCTGGTGTCCTATTTTCACAGTCTTTAACAATCCTGATGGACTTTGCATGTTACAGGAATTGCATGTTGAATAAACTTTAGAAAAACCCATAAGCTACCCACGTAAAGCTGCTTTTTCCTTTCTGCTACTCCTGATTTGTAGACTCCTGAAAGAAGGAGTGCTTTTTGTCTTGTATTTTAGTGTATTTTTGGCTGTTATCTTACAGGTGGTTGAACTCTTGTAATACCTGAGAGTGATCCAGAAAATGCTGATATGCACCTGGTTAGGACTCTCACTAACATTCACTGCTCAGCTGTGTGTTAGTGCCAGCCAGCACATTAGATGTGTAACTGTTTGTAATTAAGAACATGGAAAATTGCCCAGACTATGGGCAAACAATTGTGCCCCACCTTCAACTAAGTGTAGTCAGGTGTAATGCAGTTATTAATGGCTTTATGCACATTGGAGCTTTTATTGTTACTTGATGAATCAGAAAATGCATATGTTGCAAATGCTATGTTACTTGTTTCAAAATCAAGTATCTGATCAGTTTCCACTTCCCTCAGTTCTTTCTTCCATGTGCTTGGTAGCTACATACTTTGATAGTCACATGGCTTTCAGTAACATTTTAGACATACTTTGCTTCGCAGGTGTTCTGAGGATCATGACTGAAATGTTTTTGCCTCATATCAGCCTTGCAGATGTGGAACAAACTTTTTTCTCTAAAGTACTGCCTAAGGTATGACACCTTCAATGAAATATGAAAATTTAAGTCAGTGCAATGCTAAAAACCTGCTTAGAAAGCCTTGATTCTTCTGAGGTCTCATGATAGAATCATTGCTTTGCAAGCACAGCTTGGAATAAACATTTTACCCTTTAAAAGCTTAACAGTTTTACATTGTTGGATTGTTTCTATGATTTTTACCATTCTTTACAGTAGGGAGAGGATCAGGCATATGATGTCTATATTTAGACATTTATATTTATGCTTTCTATATTTAGTAACAGAATTGTTTTTTATTTCTTTTCGAGAAGGTCAGGCTTTGTATAAATGACCAAGGTTGTTTTCACTTGGGGCAGGCTCTCAGGACAAATAAACTGAAGAACCCAGCACCCATATATCATGAATAATTTTTGTGATATTTGTGAGCAATATGATGAATAAACGTTTAGGCAAAGACTAACAGAAGGTCTCTCTTTTGATTAAATAATAATTTTGGTCTGTAATATTAAACTCTTTAGTGTTCTATCTTAACGGACTTAAAGCAGTAGTGAATTGCTGAGATTCAGGCCCCAGCTTGTATATTTTAACCAGCCTGTAAAAATGTCCGGTTGATTTCCATTTCCTTTCTTGCATGTCCTCTAGCAGATTTTAGAGATTACAAGAAAAATGGCTCATAACATGCATATCCTGAACAGGGATTACTGTACCATACCAGTTTATGTAGTACCCTGCACGTGCCTAGAAGCTGTTTTGTCTTTGCATCTCAGCAGGATCTCTAGTAAAATATACATAGACCTAGACCAAAGCAGAAATTATTGTTATTTGTAGGTCTTAAAACATTATTTCTTTATTCAAAATGTTAGTGATTGTTCTCAACAAAAAGCACTTTCTGAGACAAAATGAAAATAACCTTTTATCTCAAAATGGTGTGGTTTTAATTAAGAAAAAAATCTCTGTGAGGATTTGGTATCTTATTTCAAGTTAATTAGCTAGGGAGTTTATTTTGGTAACAGATTTTTAGAAAATAGCAGCTAACAACTTCTGTCTGTAATTTGAGAACAATAGATGGTTTTCACATCTTGGTATATCAAGTTTAATGATTTAAATGCTAGAAAACATTATTTACTCCTGTGAGTTATCTCAGTAGACTATGACTGCAATCTAACCAAGCAAACAGATATAAACATATGTACACAAATAGTAACACAATTGTATATATAAAATTTTTAAGTGTTTCTTCTTTTTTTTTTTTTTTTTTTTAAAAAGACACTACAGCTATATGATAACTTGATGTATGAATTATCCATTGAGGCCAAAGGATTAACCAGCCAGAATACAGAGTTATGCAGTACTGTAAGGAATCTATTACAGGCAAGTCTATTATGCTTTGATTTTACCTAATAAAATAACAGATTTTAGAATACTTATACTACTAGCCGAGTCATAAAAATGTAATCTGAACTTCTTTGCAGTTGAAGTTCAGTTAAAATGTTGTGAATCACATTTAGCATGTGATGCTAATCAGAATTCAAAGAAAATCTCAAATTCTGCTTAGTATCTAGTGTAAATGGAATTTAATTTTCCAAATTTAAATAGTGAATCTGGCAGCTATTTATACAGTCACTTAATTTGGAGTTCAAATTTTTTTGTAAGTTGAGGACAGTGATGAAAAAAATACGAGTCTTTCAAAGAGTGTATAGTACCAGAAAAAGCTATGGAATTCATCTTTAATAAACAACTTATTTATGCAAATAGCTGTGAACTTTAAATGTTGTAAGAACCTAGGAGCAATTCCACAAAAAAGTGCTTCTGAAATTAATGCAGGATTGAAAAACATTGATTGCTGTTGTTTGTTCTTGATTTAAGACTGTAGTGCAACTGTTGGAAACTTTGACCAGTTGCGTACGCTACGTCTGCACGCTGCAAGAGTGTGTGCCTCTGGAGAGTATCCGCACCCTTCCATCCTCTGTTCTTTATGTAATAAAGAACACGTTTACACACTGCAAGGTAGGTCTCTGTTAGAGAGAGAAAAATTCTCCTTCTGGTTGGTTTTTAGGAAATGTTCACTTTATGAGAAATTCCTAATTCAAAATAATATTGTTGTAGATTTTTTTTATTGCTATCAAATCATTTACAGAATGTACTTAGTGTACAAGTACAAAGATGTTTTTTCAGCTGTTTGCCCAGAATTTCTGACCTGGCAGTACTAAACATGGGCTCTGCTATTTTCAAATTTCACATCAGTGTCAGTTGAACATTTTGCTTTTGAATTTAGGCTACGACATCTGTGTGTTTCTGATAGCTGCAGTAGTTTTCAGAGCTACAAATGGTGACCAAGATGCTGCTACTTACTTCTATGCAAGTTCCCAAGTGGATTGGAAGTTGAGATTAGGACCTCTATGTTAGTTACACTGGGTATCAGTTTCAGATACCCGTTTTCAGATGCAACAGTAATTCTCCCTTAAGCAGTGAAAATAAAACAAGGTTATCGTAAGGGCACATTAGCTTTTGGTCAGCCTTCATTTTCACTTATCAATTTTTTTCTTAATGAAACATTTACAGCAGTTTTCCATGTCAGGACTTGAACTCATTTGCCATACCTTTTATTTAACAATTCTAATTTGAAAGTTTTGAGAAATATTTGAAGTAGTCTACTTCCTTGTTTGCTAATGTTGTACTGCTTTGTTCAGAAACATGATAGCTTCATGCATCAAAGCCAGCTAAACTCACCACAGCCAGACTTCATTAGCTGTTGATTAGACTGCAGGTGAATAGCATTTTATACTTAGCAAATAAGTGTTGGTATCAAAACCTATAGATCAGGTTCAATAATGAGTTAAAGTAGTTACCTATATGCCTTCTCAGATTGTGATTCCTGACTTTATTTAACCTCTTCCCCATTTCCTACAGGATAGTGAATCAGTGTACTGTGGGCATCTACACTTGATTGCTGATCTCCTACAAGCTATGTTCAAGGAAACTTACTCTCTTCAGAAACAGCTGATGGAACTATTTGATCAGATTTCTGTGGGCTCTGCTTCTGCTGAAGATAACATCACAGATATGGTGTCAGGTATATGTGGTTCTAAAGCTTTTTGACTTTTGTTTAAAAAACAGCTTTTTTTTTTTTTTTTTCTACAGGAAGTATGTTTGAGTCTTAAAAACTGATCATGCTCAGTTCCTGCTGTCCTGACCAGCACTTCAGAAGGCAGCATTTTACAGCTTGAAACATACCCATTTTTTTCCTGAAACTCTTTGTGAGATGGGGGATGTTGCATAGATTTTTAGGAAAGGAGAGGCATCTAAGCACTGAGCCATTCATGATTCAGTGTCATCATGGTGGTATTCTCTAGTGCTTGTGATTGCTGTTGTTTTCCTAGGAGAGAAGTATAGCTGTGAACTTAGGATTCTGCTTTAACTTAGTTGTTGCCATTATTATTTCCTTCACAGTAATCCACACTGTGCTAGAGATCTGCTCTGTCATTTCCAATATGGACCATGCACTTCATGCCAACACGTGGA